AAGCACTAAACTTCTAGACCCTAAACCATAAACCTAAACCGTCGACCTCTAAACCCCAAAACTCCTAAACCCCAAACCCTAAACCCTAAACCCAGGGCCTCTAAACACCAAAACCCCTAAACCCTGAACCCTGGTTGCCTTGCTCGCAGCTCAAGCTCCTGTGGTAAATTCAGACTTGCGAGGGGAACCTAAACCCTAAACCCTAAACCCACCCCGAGAACCTTGAAGCAAACATCCTGAAACCAATAGGTTTCTTGTCTAAACCTGCCCGGTTCCACTCCCAAACCGCAGACCCTCAGCCCAAAACCCTGAAGTCTCGGGCCTTAGCATGAGTTTTGATGCAGAGTGATGGGGGGCCCTCAGACGGAGTCAATTTTGTTTTTTGGGGTGCTTCCAGCATAACGAAAGCGTTGCGCTTGTCAAAAACGGCCGCAGCTTCGAGTGTCGGGGTTCAGGATTTACGGCTGCTTGCGACAAGTGTGTCCGTGTGAGTTTATGCAGAATAAGCTATACCTTAACCCCAAGTAACCTACCTTTTTCAGGTCTCATATAAAGAAATCATATTAGGAAATCCTAAAAAAGGTAGGTTCCTTAGGGTCCAGGTACAGGTTATACCTGTGTTGTGAGCGGAGTTGTGTTTGGGATCGAAAGCTGTAGGCGCACCCAAAACCACCAATTCCTGAAACTTCAACCCCGCCCCAAGCCCGTGGTCTGCAACACCTTCCAAACACCCAAACCGCGGACCTCTAAAAGACCCCGACACCCTCTCAACCTATTAAGAAACGGCTCGGAGCAACATGTACAACTGTTCCGTTACAGTGTAACGTACACGAAAACCCATTTCTACTTATGCAGGAGCGGTATAGCACCGTGTACAGCTGCATAAAATTCGACAAGAAGTGTTTTCAATTTTTGCAAACCCCCATACGTAGTAACAGCTCCTTTTTGTTCAGTCAGTCTTCAGGCCTGTGATTCAGGGTTTGGGGTGGCCCTGGGCAGGTTCGACAATGCTTGGCTCAAATCCGAAGGTGTGGCTGGCTCCCCCGCGCGGTTGCTCTTAATGGGCTTCGTGTTCAGGGTTTGGGGTTTGTCGGTTTGTTTGCTTAGGTGTTGAAGCTTGGGGATTGGGGGTAGTCTTTGCTTCGGCGGTGGCGTTTGGGCTGCTTGTACAAGTTTTGAGGTTTCATTGAAGGTTTGAGGGTTCAAGGGCTTGGGGCTGAGGGCTTGAGGGCATCTTTGGCGGCATGCTGCGGGTTGGCGGAGGTAGTGAGATCTAGGATTTTGTAGGTGCTTGAGTTTGGGGGCTTAGTTAGGTCGCAGGGTACTGTATTGCAGTGTTCAGTCAAGCTTTTCGGCTTGAATTCGGTCTTCCGGTTGCGTTTTGATGGGGGTTTTGGTCAATTTGGCACCCTGATTAACTACCCATCCTTTCATAAATTTATTTGAGCACTTGATCTGAGCATGCTTGTCGAAATTATGATACTTCACGTTATTTTGGTTGACTCTTCGGACTTCAACTTTTTGGGTTGCTATATGAACTATAATAAGTAGGCTAAAAGCTTAGCTTTTTGGATGGGTTCAGAAGTCAGCCAAGAAATCATACTAAGGAAAGCTGGTTCATAGTTCATATCAGTCGAAAGTCACATCATCCACAGCTACTTGGAGGGTCGGGGGACTTAGTAACTGGCTATTTTAGGGACTTATAAGTACCATAACCCCAATTAGGGGCCCTTTTTAAGGTACCTATAAGTCTACTGACTACCTACTTACTAAGTCCCCCTACCCTCCAAGTACTGTGTGCAGCAAGCTCAGCCACTCCAACGTCTTTCGCCATATCGTGGGGCTCGAGCCTTCGTTCTGCGGGGTGCAGGAGTTGTTTGCTAGGTTCCCAAGCACGATTCTCCCAAACTGGGGCATGAAATCTCTTCGCGCTGATTCGAGTCATCATCGCTCAATCGCCGCCCAGACTCTTAGCCTTAACCTGCCCGCTCCAAGAGCCTAACCAAGAGGTCTTGCAGCCCTGACCGCTTGGAAGTCTGAGCCAACGCTCCAAGTTAGCTGAATCGCACGACAGCCGTCACGAAGCCTGCAGACTTAGACTACGCTGAAAACAGGAATCCTTTCACAAAGAAAGCTATAACATACGACCTGAACCCGAAACTCTAAAGCGCTTGAGGCCTAAAGCCCTTAACCCTAAACCATACAGGCCTTGACTCAAAACCAGAGTAGGGCCCCTCACGTGCCAAAGTCTGCACCTTGCGTCTGTGGCTGCCTCGGGAGGGATCAGTAGAAAAGATGGAAGAAGAACCTGTAACAGGGGGTTTGAGCAAGGATTTTCAGGGTTTGATCGCTTTTTTTTTTAGGAGTTTTGCACACAACTTATAAGAAACTCTGTTTCTTCGGGTTTGATTTAGGGAGCTTCGCAAGTTGATAGTCTGGAGGCCCCCAGACCCTGAGCTCCAAGCTCTAAGCCATTGAAGTTGAACTGGGAGGTTCCCAAAACTAGGGCTACCTTGTATTGGGGTCCTTATAATAAGGATCCTACTCTTTAGGGTATTATGATGAGGGTCCCCTATTTTCGGAAACTCGCAACTTGAGATCTACTCACAAAGCCCAATACCCCTTAATTAAGGAATATGGCTTAAATTATGAGGGGCTTCATATGATGATTTAAGCTATATGCTTTAATGCAGGGGTATTGGGCTCTCTGGGTAAGGAAGCCTTTCTAAATGTCTTGTTTTCCTGCTGCACCTCCCGGGCGGGGATTGAGAGGCTGAGGAATTGGCGTCAAGGATGCTTGGGGTAGTTGACAGAAATCTTCCTACATCGAGCCGTAAATTCAGAGCTGCAAAACACTCAAGCCGGAAATGTCGTCAGCCGGAAACGTCGTCAACCCTAAGACAATCCCGATTGAAAGTTCTAGAAAACCTTTATGGCGTATGTGTATATTGATTGTATAACATTCGTTAAAGTGCTATAGCAACCTTGTACCAAGCCAACATAAGACTTCAGAACAACCCCACCAGAACTCTCCCAAACAAGTTATAAACAACCCTGCAGCCTAGAACAGCCATGGAAAGCATTCTTCGACACTGTTTCGACAAATTGCTTGTTTTTGGTATTCCAGAACATAACCCCAACCTATAATCACTGGAACTAAAATCCTAAACCCTGAAGCCCTAACCCTAACCCCTATCCCTAAACCCTAACAGCGTAGCAATTTAAATTGAAGCTCCACCGCCCTCATACCCAGAGACTCCAATATCCCTTAATTAGGGAATATTCCATAAATCATATTAAGGATCCTACTATAATGTAGGGTATATGCCCTAATTAAGGGATAGTGGAGTCTCTGGGTACCTTCAAGCCCCAGAATACCCTGGCTCTGCCTCCGACCACCCAGAGAACCCAATACCCCTTGATTAAGGAATATACCTTAAATTATAGAGGCCTTAGTATTATGATTTAAGGTATATTTCCTTGATTAAGGAATATACCTTCAATTACAGAGGCCTCAATATTAGATAAATTATAGAGGCCTTAATTTTCTGACTGTAAGGTATTTTCCTTAATTAAGGGGTATTGGGCTCCGACCAGGTGCATGCGCACTGCAGTGCGAGCAGCGATGAAGTCTTTGCTGCCCAACTGAGTTAGGAGTTGTAGGAATTATACAGTTTGGTTCTTTTTCGCGGTTTGAGGTTAAAAGCTCCAGGGATCATGTAGTTTGGTTTCGGAGTTCGACGTTTTCGCCTTCGGGTCGGGTTGGAATGTGTTTTCTTCGACTTTGCCGTTCGGAGTCCAGCGTCTAGAGAGGCTTTTGGGTTTAGCGAGTGTTTAGTAGCAGAGTGTAGGGTTTAAGGTGGGTTCGGGGAGTGTTTGGTATTGTGGTTTAGGGTTCAGGGCTTGAGGTTTAAAGAGCGTTTGGGGCTTTGCGTTTCGGGCCCAGGGTTCAGGGAGGCAGGGTGCTGATAACACCCTGAATCCCAGCCCTGAGTTCCCCCTCCCCCAGCCCGGAACCCTGCTTAAAGGCTCAGGGGACTTAGTAAGTAGGATTATGAGTAGGGTACAACTAGGATAACCCCACTTAGGGACCCTATAGCCCCAATTCTAACCTACTTACTAAGTCCCATGATCCTCTGAGTGGAACCTTAAGCTAAACGCCAGAACGCAAACTTGACGTGGTTCAGTAATTAGAGTAGGGTTCTGTAAGTTTGCTTTAAAGGGTTCTATGAGAGTCCCTTTTCAGGGTTCCAGGGTTATCTTCAGGTTCCTTTTCAAGGGTCAGTATAAGGTCCATGATCTAGGGTTCCCTTCAAGGGTCCTTTTAAAGGGTTCCTTTAAAGGAACCTTTTAGGGTTACTACAAGGTTTCCATGAGATAGGAGCCTAAGTCGTTCGAGGTTGGCTTTGCGGGCTTGGACGCTTTCAGGTTCGACTGATTTGGGCTTCGATGTTTTGTGTCTCGGGGTGCCGAACCTATCCTGGATTTCGGTTTGGGATAATTTTAAATCTCCCTTATTGCTCAATAGTGAGCCCTAGTTTTAAGATACTATTTTGGGGATAAAGGATCGACACCTAGCATCTGAACAGAGCGCACGCAGTGCACAGGTATACAGGTACATACTGCATATATGAAGAATCTGTTCCGGGCATCATTTCATGTTGTTGCAGGGTAAAGGCATTAGGCTGTGGCCTGGTTTTTTCTGACTCTGCATTGCGGCGTTTCCTCAAGCCCGAAACCCAAAACATAAATCCTAAAAAGCCTTTTACCCTAAACCCTAAACCAGAAAAAAGGCGCATCTGATATGAATCCAGGATCTTAGTGAACGAACTTCGGAGGCTAAGGTGTTTAAGCAACTTATATATAGGGATATCACGTTCAGGAGTACAAAACCGTCATGCCTAGACCCTCCATTGTAAAAAAGTCCTTAATCCTATGACCTACAGTATATCTACACCTCAAAACCCTGACCTAAGCAACTTCTTTTCGATGGCTCCCAGGATCGTGCGCAGCCACGTGGTGTTGCTGCCCCGTGGCGAGTAAGCTTCGGAAGCGAGGGGTGGAGCTGTGCTTTTAGGGTTGTTGGTTAAGGGAGCATTTCTGGGAAAGGGTTCGGTTCGGATCAGATTGGCGAGTGGAATCTCCAATGAGAGTCTCTGTGTTAGCGATCCTTGGTCGTGCCTTAGTTGGAGTTTGAAGTTTAAACATAGCCGCGACAGTAGACCTATTTATCAGCCGAATTACTACGTCCCCTCATCCTTCAAGTAGACCCTAACCCACATAGAACTCCCAGAAAAGCCCTTATCTCAGTCTCCTCATCCACTAAGTGGGGGCTTAGCTGCTCCGTAAGGGGCCTAAACGAGAGGAGCGAGTGTGTGTACTGTGATTTTTGGCAAAAATGTATATGTATACATTACATTATGTATACGAATATGTAATGTATGTGTAAGTGTTTTGTATGTGTAGGTGCAGGTGTAGGTGTAGGTGTATATAGGTATAGGTGTAGGTGTGCGTGTATGTGTATGTACAAGTATGTGCTCATGCTTATGTATATGTGTGTGTATGTATATATATATATATATATATATATATATATGGACATGACTGTGTGTGTGTGTGCGCAAGAAGGTATGCTTGCCGAGTGGGACAGTGATCGTCCCAAAATTAAAAGGCAACATGGTGGAAATGCAGGACATCCCGAACTCCATCGCCTTTCTTCCCGCGTACGTCCCCTGTGGAGTTGGAAGGAAAGACCATGAACCTCCACGAGCTGGTCGCGGCCCATCATGGCTGCAAAGCCCAGTGCCTGAACGAAAGCAAGAACAAGTTCGCGAGAAAGCAGGACTTTGACCGGCTGTCTGTTAGCTTGTCCATAGTAGTCTTTTATCCACCCTGAGGGTTTTGGATGTGTAAGCTTTAGAGGTTGTTGTTTTTCTGCAACCCTAAACCCTAAACCCTAAACCCTAAACCCTAAACCCTATACCCTAAACCCTAAACCCTATACCCTAAACCCTAAACCCTATACCCTAAACCCTATACCCTAAACCCTAAACCCTAAACCGTTGGGTGTTGGCATGGGAGTAGTGCTGGCGGCGTCTGGGGCAAAGCTTCATCCCTAGCCTGAAGCCCACGCTGCCTGCTCGCGGCTCACCTTCAGGGCTCCCTTTAAGGGTTTCCTTAAGGGTTCTATAAGGGATGTAAAAGAGGGGTCCTTAGTAGCTGAGTTTATAAGCTTTAAACTTTTTGGGATAATGAAACCCTCTTAAGACTGAAAGTTTAAACTTTTCTGGGCTAATGAACTCGGCAACTAGGGGTCTATAATGTAGGGGCCTTAATAATGCTCATCTTCGGGTGTTTGGGCATTCACTGCTCTTCTGGTTCGGGGGTTTAGTGTTGGCAGTTGACAGGCTTAGATTTTTTAGGGAATACAGGGGCGGTTATTCTCAACATTATCAATGTATGCCCTTTATGTGCAGAAAAGTGCCACTGACTAATTTTTAGTTTCGGATCGAGCTCTGCAGCACGAGGCTTAGCACTGCTTTTCTGGGATCGGCAGAGCGCGCGCTTTTGAAGGGCGTGCCGTGGCTGACAGGGATTGTTGCGAGGTCTTTGTAGCTGCTTGAAGGGTTCTAATTATTAGGGTCCTTTAGGGGTTCCTTTAAGTCCTTTAAGGGTCCCTACAAGGGTTTTAGAGCGATTTTAGGGTTTTGGGATTCAGTGGTGGGTTTAAGGTTCAATGAGGAAATGCAAAAGGGTGTGTAAGGAGTGTGCGACTTTAACACAGCACACTTGCATGGGTTGTGACGTTTAAAGCTTTAGTAAGATTGAAGGTTCGTGGGGATTTGTACGTACCGAAGTACAAGCGGCAAACATGATCACAGTTGCTCTAAGCCCCAAGTGAAGTGAGGAAAACTGGACCTTGCACACAACTGAATTCTAGTAAACCCGCAACCCTTAAACCCTGAATGATAACAGCTAGCCTTCTTCATCCTCAATGTCAGTCTCAGTGTCCGGTCCCCCATGTCCCTATCCGCGAGCCTACTGCTAGTGCTTCTACTGCCGCTGCTTCTCTGATGCTTAAGGCGTAAGGATTGTGATGATGGTGGTGGTGGTGGCGGTGATGAATTTCTGTATGGGGAAGTCTGGTCACTTTGATTTCTGTTGCTGATCTCTATGCTGGTGTCTTGGAAAGAACGTGTTTTGTGTTGCCTTATGCGGACATAATCACGTAGCGCATGTCAGTATTCTGCTCTAAATCCTTACCCCCAAATCCTAAGCACCCAACCCCAAACCCTTAAACCCAAACCCCAAAACCCTATACCACAAACCCCAAACCCGGAACCCCATACCCTCAACTCAAGGCCCTGCGTTCGCCCTAAACCTTAAACTCTAAACCCTAAACCCTACACCCTCAACTCAAAGCCATGAAGTCGGACTTTTTTCAGACCTCGGCTTTCCGACGGCTTTGGTCGTAGAGTTCGGTTTCTGGGTGGCTGCTTCAAGGGTTCTATTAGGGTTTGTTAGGGTTCCTTCAAACTTTTAAAGTGTTCCTATATGGGTTTTAGAGGGATTCTAGGCAGGTATGACTTTGGATTCAATTTAGGCTTGAGGGTTTAGGGTCAGGCTTTTGGATTGTTTTGGGGAAGTGACACCGGAGCCAAAACAGGTTTCATTCCCGAGCGTTCCATGATATGCTTATGTTGAGAATCGAGCTGGTCTAATATTTTCGGCAAGTGCTGGCCGGGATCGGTTAAGTTGTATGAATCTCCCGGGTTGTTACTAGGAAATTGGGGAATGGGTTGTAGGGACTACTATAAGGGACTATCATAGGGATTTCCCCCATTCCCTACTAAAAACCAGGGAGTAATGTCGTGGGTTTGTGGGCCAAAGAACTCGTGGACAAGGCTTTAATTTAGCGGCCGTAGTAGTTAGAACAGGGTTCTGGGGCACATTTTACTGCAATTATAATGAGGAACCCCCAAGATAGTATAGGTAATTACTACGGCCCCTATACTATAGAACCCTACTATAGGTCCCTTATAGATCCCTTTAAGGAACCCTTACGGATCCCTTTGAAAGGAACCACCAAAATAGTGTAGATTAAGGCCCCTATAGTAGTCTTCCCCGCATAGAGCCGGTCCCTTGGATTTAGGGTATTTAAGGGTTCCTATAAGCGAACTATCAGGGTTCCTTTAAGGGATCTATAAGGGTTCCCTTAAGGGATCCTTTAAGGATTACTTTAAGGGATCTTGTTCAGGGATTAGGGTTTAAGTTAAGCCTTGCGGTTTGGGGTTTAGAGCCTAGGGTTTAGGGTTTAGGGTTGAGGGTTCAAGGTTTGAGCATTAGGGTTTAGGGTCCAGGTGGGCTGGTTTTTAGGGTTGGGAGCCGAGTCTGCGCCGGTTAAGCCATAGGTGGCGCAAGCTTTTTATTTCTCAATGCTTTGGATTCTCCGGGTGGGTGGGTATTGGCCTGTGACCAACTAGAATGCCCAGTAGGACCCTTATTCCCTTTTTGCAGTCCTAGGTTTCCTATAAAGTTACCCAATGCCAAAAAGGGAGCCCTTTTTATTCCTAGGTTGCTGGGCGTCCTAGCCAAACGCTCCATAAATCTAATAGTTTCCTAGCACAGCTTATCGTAAATTGTTAAACCATGAACTTTAAAGACTAAACATGAAACCCTAGGCCTTACTTGGTGCCCTTATGGTTCACGTGTGTGCTAGGGTTTGAGACTCAGCTTCTGAGGTGAGCTACGGACCAGTGCCGCTGAAAAGCACACCTGGAGGCGCACGTTTGCAGCGGTAACCCAACCCTCAGCCCAAACCCCAAACCCTGAGCATGACTTAGGGTTTAGGGTTTAGGGTTTCAGGTTTAGGGATTAGGGTTTAGGGTATGACACCCCAGAACCACCCCAAAGCCCTCAAGGTTCTGTCCCTATGTAAACCCCCTTCGCGGTTTTTGAGGGGTCGAGTTTAGGAGTTTTTGGGGTCTTTTGGTTGTTGGGGCCTAGAGTAGGCCCTTATTCCCTTTTTTCGGGGTTCAGGTTCCCTTATAAGCCCCTTTAAACCAAAAAGGGCACCCTTTTTATTCCTAGGCTACTCTTGGGTCTAGTGGTTGTTGGGGCTTAGGAGCCCCTGAGCCGTAGACGCCCCGAGATTGCGAAACCCTTTTGTTCAGACCTACGCTCAAAGATGGAGGGATCTTATATGTAGGGGTGGTTGTCAAAACGATGGTCCCTTCTTGGGTCCCTATGATAATACGGCACCTATTATTTAGGGTACCCAAAACGGGATGTTAATTTTGATAACCACCCATATGATGTAGTGTAGATGTACGAAGCAAAAGTGGTGGGAGCTTCCTGTAACTTAGAAAACCAGCAGAAAGCCTGTAATTTAGGTCCGGGCCCAAGCCGAAAACAAACCCTAAACCCTAAAACCCTTGAGCCCTAAACCCTAAACCCCTGAACGCATAAACCATGCCCTAAACCCCTAAACCCTCAAAGCCCTGAACCCCTGAACCCTAAGCCCCAAACCCTCAGCACCCAAGACCCTAAACCCTCAGCAATCTAAGCCCTAAAGCCCCGAGCCCCTGAACCCCCAAACCCCGAAACCCCTAAACCCTTAAACTCTTAGGACCCTAAACCCTACTTGGAGGATCATGGGACTTAGTAAGTAAGGTTATAAGTAGGTTATACTTAGGATAACCCCACTTAGGGGACTTATAACCCCATTTATAACCTACTTACTAAGTCCCATGATCCTCCAAGTAAAGCCCGAAAGGACAGGCGATTCCGCAAGACGACTGGATGGTCCAGGCGGCCAAGCCCATGTGGGGACCGCGGGGTCGACAAGACCTGGAGGCTCCACTTAAAGGATTACGGGAAATAGTAACTAGGGTTATTATTGGGGTGACTATACTTCTAATTGCTTATAACCCTAATTAAGGGACTTATAACTATAGGAGAGACTCCAATATCCCGTAATTAACGCATATTCCTTAAATTATAGTAGGATCCTTAATATGCTTTAGGGAATATTCCTTAATTAGGGCATATTGGAGGCTCTGGGAGGGCAGGTTCTGGTTTGAGGGTTAAGGGGTTGAGGGGTTTAGGGGTTTGGTTGTCTTGGGGTTTAGGGGTTCAGGGGTTTAGGTGTAGGGTTTGGGGTTTAGTTTAGGGCTTAGGGGTTTTGGGGCTTAGGGGTTAAAGGGTTTAAGCTTAGGGGGTTTAGGGGTTTAGGGGTTTAGGGGTTAAGGGGTTTAGGTGTAGGGTTTGGGGTTTAGTTTAGGGTTTAGGGGTTTTGGGGTATAGTTGTCTTTAGGTGTTTAGGGGTTCAGGGCTTTGGGGGTTTGGGGTTAAGGGGTTAAGGGGTTTAAGGGGTTAAGGGGTTTAGTGGTTAGGGTTTAGAGGTTCAAGGGTTTAGGGGTTTAGTTGTCTTTATGGTTTTGGGGTTTAGGGTTTAGGGGTTTAGGCGTTTAGTTGTCTTTAGGGGTTTAGGGGTTCAGGGGTGTAGGGGTCGGGTAGGTTCGTTTTCTAGTGTCTTTTTGGTTTAGGTTTTGGGGGGCCTGCTGAAACTGGTGACGCCTTTTTTGGGTTCTTTGGGGGTAAAGGGCTGAAGACTTGGGGTTGAGGGTCTTTTATTTGGTATCAGGGCCTTAATGCTTTTTTTGCTGCAATTTTGGTACTGTTATCAGTATAGAGTATGGTAGGTTCGTTTTGTAGGTTTTCTTGGAGGGGAGGCAGCGGGGAGAGGGGGTTTAGGATTTAGAGATAGTTTGGTCTATGGTTTAGGGTTTTGAGGTTTTTTGGTGTTTGTGGGCTGCAGCGTGTAAGGTCTCAGGTTTGAGGTTGACTCCTGATGCATCAGCTCCGTTGCCTTCCGGGTCCCAAAACTAGGATCCTCACGATACTTAGAGGCTCATGATACTTAGTAAGTGAGGTTACAAGTAGGTTATCATTAGGATAACCCAACTTAGGGGACTTATAACCCCAACTGTAACTACTTACTATGTCCCATGATCCTCACGATAATCCTCATAACGGGGGAGGGTTTCATCAATCAGGTGTCTTCAGTGTCCGAGCTCTAGACCTTGAACCCGAATCCTTCAACCCTGGACTCTGGACCTGAACCGCTAGACCCTGAACCCCGAACTCTAATCCCCTAAACCCTAAACCCCGAACCCTAAACCCTGAAGCCTAAACGCTAGACTGAACCCTAAAGGGTCGCAGGCCGCGACGTGTGGCCTTTCAACTCAGGGGTTCAATCAGAGGCACTGTTGGAAGGGGATTTGAGGGCCGGGTGGTTCTATCAGGGCTTATTCTGCTTTTAAAGGGTTAAGGTTTGGGGTTTAGGGTTTCGTTTCTTCTGAGCCCTCAATCCACACGCCTCAGCCGCAGGTCATCAAGTCTCTTGGCGCCAATGCAGTGCCTTGAGCATTATCTGGCCAACTTTTTGGGTTTCAGGTTTCCGTCCAGATCTCTTGCGACTGTCGTCTGCATCAAGTTCTAATGCTTGTTAGGGCGCAAATGGTGCAGGCTTTGGGGTTTGGGGGTTTCACGTGTTTTTGCGATTAGCGATTGAGATTTCTTCCGGGTCGCATCTTTGCATGGAGATTTAGTTTGAGGCTTCTGGACGTGGGCTGACTGTGCTCAATTCTGTGTGGTGTGCACGATTCTGGGAATGTTTGACCCTCTGGTTTCGGGTTTTTGCTGGTACGAATCAAGCTTCGCCTGTTCGCAGACCCCGGCAGTGGGCCACTGGACCAAAGAAAAAGCCTGAAGGCCTTCTGCACGGTGATGGAGAGGGCCGTGAAGGAGCAAGTGTGGTGAGATCTGTGCAAAGCGGGAAGCATGGCGTTTGACACTGGCTGATAGAAATTGGGGAGACATGCAGCTTCTTATCCCACGATTTCAACCCAGACTTTCATGATGATTAGAAAGCAGATCTCAGCACCGAGCGGCTGCCCACTTACGAGGCCAGCATTGTGGAGGATGTGGACGGCCACCCTCAGGCTGTGCGAAAGCAACCGCTGTCCGCAGCGACCCTTCTCGCAAGTAGCGTGGAGCCACAATATTGGAAGGACAGTGGTCCACAATGGAACAAGCTTTGTTGGTTGCATGGGCGGCAACAGCTGAAACCCTCAATTCCTCAAAGATTTAGGGGCACAGGTTCAATGCTGAGGGTTTGAGTTGAACAAACGCTGAAGACAAAAACTAGCCATGAACGTCTCCTCTTGCAGCCAGCATGAACCAGGGCCCTTTGAGGAAAGCCAGCGTGAAGGGTTTACATGGAGGTTAGGGGCATTCATCACCTACATTTGAGCTGTTTTTATGGCTGAACTACAACATAGGCACCCAGAGACTCCAATATCCCTTAATTAAGGAATATTCCTTAAATTATGGTAGGATCCCTTATATGATTTATGGTATATGCCTTAATTAAGGGATATTGGAGTCTCTAGGCAACTAAAGTTCGGGATCTTAACGTTTCAGGAGCCGCGAACCCCGTGCTTTACTTGCACCATCCCTTGTCCGAGCCCTAAACCCGAAAGCCTGAACCCTGAACCTTCAACCTTAACCCTAAACCCTGAACCCTAAACTCCTAAGCCTTAACTGTTGAACCACCAGCCTAAGCCCAAGCCCAAGCCCAAGCAAGCCCAACGCCCCATGCACTAAATCCATCAACTGGAAGCTAGATCCTCAGCCCGAAATGCCAAATCCTCATGCCCCCTGAACCCTAAACCCTGAATCATAAATTAGGGTTACAGTGAACCTTAAACCCTGCGCTAGGCACTAAACCTTACGCATTCAACCTACATAAACCGAAGCCTACAAAGCCTTTGCTGGGCGATCAAATGCTGTTGAGGTGCGGCTCTACGGGAACAACCCCGACGAGAGCCACCGGGGATTTCTCGACGAGGCCAGGCGTTCGGGTTTATGGCTTCGTTAGGTGTCGGCAACGGCACAAAGCCTTTATCTCGCTTTGTTGGGTGTGGGACTCAACAAGACATCTAGGAGCCTTAATCATTACCTATAGTATGTTGGGGGTTCCTTATTCTAATTATAGTATAATGGGCCCCAAAACCTTATTCTAATTTGTCTGGGCTCCGTGTTAGAAGGTTTTAGTTTTAAAACTAAACCCTAAACCCGTTGGGGTTTAGGAGCCTTTGCGCCAGCTTGTACTTGGCTTTTTCGAAGTGTATTTCTGTGGGGGGATAGGGTTTAGGGTTTAGGGATTAGGGTTTAGGTGTTACTTGGAGGCTCATGGGACTTAGTAAGTAAGGTTATAAGTAGGTTATACTTAGGATAACCCCACTTAGGGGACTTATAACCCCACTTATAACCTACTTACTAAGTCCCATGATCCCCCAAGTAGGGTTTAGGTGCTTCCGGACTGCTCTCTTGGGGGACTCGTCTTGGGCTGGTCAGACCCAGAGACTCCAATATCCCTTAATTAAGGAATATACCTTAAATTATAGTAGGATCCCTAATATGATTTAAGATATATTCCTAAATTAAGGCATATTAGAATCCCCTAAACCCTAAACCCTCTAGATCTCTTTAAAGGAACCCTTGAATGAAAGCTAGGAATATTCCTTAAATTGAAACGCTGCGCGTCGTTCGCCTCGGCCCGGCTGTACGCGCATGCGGCGAGTGGCTACCCCAATTTTTCAGGCTGGGGTTAGGGTGTAGGGTTAGGAGTTCAGGTTTGAAACTCCCTTGGTACTGCAGCCTTAAAGGCGCGCCCCAAGAGATAAACATGCTACATTACGAAGCTCGCACCTGTCAGCGAGGGGGGGAGGGGCGGGAGGGTGGGGGAGGAGGGGAGGCGGGGGGGCAGGGCGGGGGAGGGGGGCGTCGTGCTTTCGGGTGCAGGTGTTGTCCGGGCTTTGAAAGTTGTTAGGGTGTAGGGTTAGGAATTCAGGTTTGAAACTCCCTTGGTACTGCAGCCTTACAGGCGAGCCCCAATTTTTCAGGCTGGGGTTAGGGTGTAGGGTTAGGAATTCAGGTTTGAAACTCGCTTGCTACTGCAGCCTTAAAGGCGAGCCCCAACACATAAAGATGCTACATTGCAGTCCCGTGTCGTCGAAAACTCCAGAAAAGCGAGCGGAGGAGGGGCGGGAGGGAAGGGGGGAGGGGGGGGAGGGGGGGAAGGGGGGAGGTCAGTGACACGTTTCCATTTTTAAGGGGGGGGGGGGGGGGCAGTGGCCCGATTTTTGGTGTGGGGTCACTGGGGAGGGGATTAAGAGGTGGGGAATAGAGGGAATCCGAATAGGTTTCTCTGACCGCTTCGGCCGGGGCCGAGGCGAATTAAGGCATATTGGAGTCTCTGGTTTTAGCTGCTCCAGGCCCACAAGACTGGCCTCCAGGTGATCCCCGGCATGAGCCGCTTGGTTCTAAGCCATTTACAGTTATTAGGTGGGTAGTTTCCCATAAGCCTCCCATACCACTCCTATAAGGTAAAGGGGGTCTTATGGGAGTACTATGGAAGAAGAACTACCCACCTGTAAGGGGCTTCTATTGGTTGAGGGTTTAGGGAGTTTAGGGGTTTGGGAGTTAAGGAGTTTAGGGTTTAGGGATTTGGGATGAAGGTTTAGGTGTTAAGGAGTTTAGGGCTTAGGGTTAGGTGCAAGGGTTCAGGGTTGAGGGTTTAGGGATTGGGGATTTCGGTGTTTCGACTCCATGTTTCGTTCTTTGATCAAAGGCTCACTTTTGGGGCTTCTTTCGGTACGTAGGGTTGTGGGTTGAGGGTTCAAGATCGTTTATTCCTTCTCTTCACTTCTCGCAAGCCAACCCTTCTCGAGATAACTCTATACTCTACTTGGAGGATCATGGGACTTAGTAAGTAGGTTATAAGTGGGGTTATAAGTCCCCTAAGTGGGGTTATCCTAAGTATAACCTACTTATAACCTTACTTACTAAGTCCCATGATCCTCCAAGTAGATCTTGACCAGGCCAAGCATGGCTCTAAAGACAACGTCTCCTCAAAGGGGTTAGGCTGAGATGGCCCGCGCCAAGACGCAGTGACGTCTGGGACCTAAAGCATAACCGTAATATAGGGGCTTAAATAACTGCCAATACCACTTTGGGGGGGCTCCCGATTATAGTTTATGCCCCAAAACCCCATTCTAACCATTGAGGCCCCTATATTAGGCCCTCAGCCCTAAACCAACAGGCTGGGTTTCGGCTTCCGTGATTTGGGGGTTGCAAGGCTGGTGGGCCTTTCCGCCTCTCCTTGTCCTGTGCCGACCTCGGAGTCTTAGAACATCGGAGATCCCTTAATGAAGAATCCTGCACTTCTCTGAGGGTTCCTTAGTTGAGTATATTGCATCATGCTCCGTACTATACTACATCTCAAAGTCTTATTCTAACAACTAATGTGCCCTAGTCATTAGAGGGTAGTTAGTCGACGTAACTATAGTTACATTACTTAACCGTGCTTGCGACGTCAGCTGATCCCTGAAGTGGTTGGAAGTTGAGGTTACTTCTAACCTAGGTCCAGCTGTGCTGATCACGCATACTTCAATTCTCTAGCTATGGCACGCGGGATTTTAGCCAGGTTGTACTAAAGTACAAGTCTAGTTCGGTTACAGGCACCCCAAATGTCAAGCCCCCCAACCCAGGCGATGTTCCTTACACGCAGATGTATCCGGGCCGGTGCATCGACACGGACTTCGCTCCTGTGCGCTTTTAGTTTGGGCTTATAGCTTTGGAGCTTCGGGATTTGTGGGCTTAGGGTCTTATATATGACTTGGGGTTTTAGGGTTTGGTTTTTGGGCCTTGTTACAATGCCTTGTCCTGACTCCTGTTAGGTGTAGTTTTCGGCTTTTCATGGGCTTATTGCCCGTATAGGGGATCCCAAAGGAGGAGAGTTTCGTTTCTAGAGTCAGGCCAGCGGTTGTGGCATGTTGCAGGTTTTTGGTAGCACGGGATCTAGGGCCCAAGCGCTAAACTGTTCAAGCTTTGCTGTTGAGGGATGAGCTGGTCAAGGGTTCTTTGTTGGCTTGTCTGTGTTTGGGCATTCGCACCCTTCTCGGTGCTACATGTTCATATCGTCAAGCTTAAGGCTACGGGACTTAGAAACCACAAACTCACGAACCTAGACCAAAAGGTGTCGGCGTTTTTAGGGTTTATGGTTTAGGGTTTATTCAATTTCCATCATGTTCCGGCAGAGATCTCTATTCATAAATACTATAAAGCCTCTTACTTGGAGGGTCGGGGGACTTAGTAACTGGTTATTTTAGGGACCTATAAGTACCATAACCAAGTACCATAACCCCAAATAGGGTCCCTTTTAAACAACTTACTAAGTCCCCCGACCCTCCAAGAAGGGGCCCCAAACGACAACCCGGTCCCTGTGCGGTTTAGGGTTTAGGGTTGTGAATCCGCTGCAGGATCTGCCGTTGGACATGTACATCTCGATTGCTCTCTGGCCCAAGGACCAGAGGTGGGAGGGCAGTGGCGTTAGGTGACGCATGGTCGCTTGAGTGCTGGCAAAAGGGCGAGGCCGCCTTCGTGACTGCGTGGGGACACGTCTTCAGAGTTTTGGCAGACGGAGTCTGCTCTTCTTCTTTTATCTCTTCAGCATTGCGATTGGGGATCACATTTGCTGCAGAGGTTTCGTCTACCAGTGGGACTCCTTAGGGAGTTCACACTGGTAGCGGAGCCCTTGGGACTTCGCTACTGAGACGGTGGGCCGTCTTTGCGGAAAAGTCGGGAACCAGGGACAATGCCACCAGCATCTGCATCCGCAGCGGCTACGCCAGAGCAGGCGACGGGAAGCAGCGATGATCGAAGCGCCTTACCGTGGGCGGCTATTCCTCGCTACACCCCTGGAGTTACAGACACGACGGAGTATGGCAAGAAGCTGAAATTCTTAGCTGAAGTTTGGCCTAAGGAGCACTTGAGCTCTTTGGCTCCTCGTGTTGCCCTGCTCTGCGAGGGCTCGGCTTTCAAGAAGGTTGCCCGCCTCGATGCAACCAAACTGAAGGTTTCCGATACCTCGGGTGTTGAGTTGATTGTGAAGACCTTAGGCGGGGCCTGGGGTCAAACAGTCTTGGAGGAGAAGTATGAGCAGTTCGAGAAAGCTATCTTTGGGACTGTACAACGCAGTGACGAGACCCATGACTCCTATTTGGCTCGTCATGACATCCACTTTGAGGAGCTTTTGGCTCAGAACATCACGTTCGAGGAGCTCCGGTCGTATGTCCTGCTTCGCCAATCACAGTTGAGCAGCGATGACAAGAAGCGCATTGTTGTTGAGCACAGTGGAAAGCTGACCTACGACAAGGTGAAGTCTTCAATACGGCTCCTGGGATCGCGGTTCTTCGGGGAATTTCAAGGACAGAGAGCCAATCAACGGACCAAGGTGTATGATGCTAACACCTTGGAGGAGTGTGTTCCAGAAGAATCGGAGAGGGCCTACCAGGCCGCCTTGGTCCCAGGACCTGCCGGAGGCGATGATGTCGACAATGAGTTGGAGCCGGAGTTCTTAGAAGCCATGCTGGCCATCGAAGACCAGGACGCGCTGCAGGTTCAGACTTTTGAGGAGGAATTAGAAGGATATTTCCAGGAGACAGCAGACCTGCAAGAGGCCTTGGTGAGCTACTTGGAGGCGAGGTCGCGCTTGTTGGCCAAGAAAAAGTCCAGAGGCTTCTGGCCAGTGGGCAGCTCCGGTAAAGGCGGCAAGACTGGTCGTGGGTTCAACAAGGGCAAGGGCCGCGGCAAAAGCGGCCGAGACCAGCTCTTGGCGCGCATAGCGCGCAGCGTGTGCCGCGCTTGCGGCGAAAAGGGCCATTGGAAAGCAGAGTGTCCCAAGTACGGACGCCCAGGATCCATGAGCGGCGGCAAGGGTGAAGCGATCACCACAGTTGCCGAGGTGGTTCAGGAGACCTATGATCCCACTTCCTCTTCGACATCGGGACATCAAGCTCTGCTCACCGAAGTGCCTGAGGACGCCTACACCTTGCATGAGGCCCATTTTGCGATCGACCAAAGCCCAAAACCTGGTGCCCTTCGCAACCTCAGTAGGTTAGTCCAGAACCTGAAAGACCGCAAATACTTTCGAGCACCGCCACATGTCAGGCTTCCGAGCGTTGGGAAGGACTTATGGACTGAGCCCGGGATCCCTGCAAAAACGCTTAAGCCTCTGAGATGGAAGGTTGCGCCAATCATTTCCCAAAGCAATCAATCTGAGAAGCATGTATTACTAGCTAATGAGCCCGTACAAGCCATTTTGGATACCGGGGCTAGCTGTTGTGTTATGGGAAAGCATTTGGTGCCTGCCTTCCTTCGCCAGCTGAGTGATGCCACCCGACAACAGGTGCGAGTGACCCGCAGCTCGGTTCGTTTCAGGTTCGGTAATAACCAGACATTGGTTAGCGAGCAGCGGCTCCTCCTGCCGTTCCGCACAGGGCAATCCACTCAGATTTTGTGGCTAGGGATAGAAGTTGTTCCAGGTAGCACGCCACTACTGTTCAGCAAGCGAGCCATTAAGCAGCTGGGAGGTATCATTGATACCACCCGTGGTTCTTGCTATCTGGAACGCCTGAAGAGACGCCTTTCGCTGAGCACCGGACCAACAGGTCTGTATCTGATTGACCTGGCACAGCTCTGTGCCGATCAGGAACAACAATGCCAGGTTGCAAATGAAGAGTCAGCCGCTCAGCAGTTGTGCGCCAGCCCGCCTATGCATGCATCGACAGCTGTGGAAGAGTGTGTCCCAACTCCACCCTGTATAGCCCAGAGTACTAAGACCGCTCCCCCCGAGATCGAGAATTCAGTTGTTTTAGGATCCCGTGAAGAATCGGGGTTAGTTAATGTTACACCGCAGATGCCGAAGGGTAATCCTGTGAGCCCAAACCACTCTGCTCCCATGCCGTGCGCCAAAACAGCAGCCACGGCGACTCTCAAAGTCTGTTTTGCATCCAACGCCTCACTCCGATCCGACCACCTTCCGAGTGACGGTCATGTCGCAAGCTCCCGACAGCCTAGCCTCGAGGTTCGCTCGGCTATCCGACCCCACGCTGGCATACAGCATGGAACAGCTGTCTGCCATGACAGTCGAGCAGCTCGGCGAGTTCGTGATCGATTTTGGCAAGGCCATGCGCGGTCGCAAGTACATGGAGGTGATCGAAAAGGAGAAAGATTGGGTGACATGGTTCATCACCCACATGTCAACCAGCGAAAAGAGGTGCCACCGCATCCTGTTCCTCTTCATAGAGAAGTACACTGCTCAGGCGGAGGAGATCGCGGAAGGCCTCGTTGGCGACCCAGCGGCGGCCGAGCCACCGAGATCGACAATGGCGACGCGTCCAAAATCCAAGAGCGCTCCTCGCCCGACCGCGTCGACGGCGGTGGCGAGCTCAGACCACTGGGCTCTCGTCGAGGACAACAGCGAACCAGCTCTCGACAACCAGGTGACGGCGATGGCCACCCGCCTCACTCACCTCGAGCATGTGATGGAGCAAGTGCTGGTGGCTCTCCAGCAGATCACGCCTCCACAGGTCCCTCCATGATGGAGTTACACGTGTGTGACATGCAAGACGCGGATTTCAAGCCTAGGTTCACGATAGCTCTCGGGGAAATAGAAAATCAGGCAAGGTCCCTAGTTCATGAAGAGGCTAGTGCCTTGCGAATTAAGCACTTTCTTCAGAAGATTCCGTGGGCTAGTCTTCAACAACAAACTTCGAGTCGAATGAGCAATGATCACGTGCGGCCCCGGGACTCGTCAAGAGACCCTGCATACCTGATGTTTGGCATGTATATGCACGGAGGAATAGTCGGTGTGACCAAGGTATCCTTGAAGTATCCGTGGTTGACCCGGGTTCTCACCCGAATGATGAGGCTGACTAATCCCGATCATCCATGTACCACTGTTGGTGTGTCCTGTAACGTCCAAACCAGTCCTCATAGAGACAGTTTTAATGAAGTAGGAGCTACCAACATGATCGTGCCAATCCAGGTGCCCCCAGTTGGGGGGGAAGTCTGGACAGCTCAGGGGGTGAATGGGGAGCAAGCTAGAGGGACTAAGGTGAGTTGTAACGGACAAATGGTATGTGGAGAGGCGATACCTCTCACTAAAGGGGTGATCTACCTTAATCCGCATGTCTGGCATGCCACTCAGCCCTGGACCGGTGATCGAATTGTGGCCATTGGTTTCTCTCTGAAGCCCCGGCACAAGCTGAAGTCTCCCCAGGTCCGCTGGCTTAAACGACATGGATTCTCGTTGCTTCGCAAATTTCCGAGAGGCGCAGCAATCTTTCCTTCCAGTACCACCCAAGAGAGCCAAGTGGCTGAGAAAATCAATGTGCCAAGTTCAGAATCACCTCTGGTTCAGGCAGCCGAAGCTGCCGCTTGTGCTTGCCAAGAAGCGGTTCGCAGAGCTGAAGATTTGCACCATCAGTCCCAGAAGCTGCTAAGTCTGCCTCCTGAACCCCAGCTTGATCTGTTGGAAATCACCGAGCATGCCGATAGTCGTCTTTCGGTTAGGGTAAGGGAGCTAGGTGGTAAAACTAGGCGGTTTACTAGCGAGGATGGCGATCTGCGGACAAAAGAAGGCCAGCAACAATTGTGGGCCGTGGTGCAACAGACTCAGCCGCGACACATCTGGGTGACCCCAGACGCTCGGTGCTGGAGTGCCTGGTCCTCTCTTAATGCTGCTAAGAGCTCGGAAAA